TGCTGCTGCTACTACTACTACTACTACTACTACTACTACTACTACTACTACTACTACTACTACAAATACTACTACTACGACTAAAACAAAACAAATACTACAACAACAATAACAATAACATCAATTACTACTATTGCTGCTGCTCCTGCTACTACTACTGTTACTGTGCTACCACTGCTGTTATAATAACAATAAAAACGCAATCTTAACCCTCTAAATCAAGTGACATATATAACGTTTTCAGTCCATCAGAACACAGCTCACAACCGAGAACTCACCGAGCAAAGCGGGTCAGGCATTGATGCCACGTAATCAGCTTGAATCCAGGGTTGAACTTGCCCAGGATCCCAGAGGCGCAACAGTCCTTCACTGGCTGCCAGAAATCAAGAAGCCACACAGTCAAACAGCTGCCTTTTTTACATGATCGCAAACATATTCCATCACTACCTAAAACTAGTTCTCCCCCCCCCCCCCAGTTAATATATACACTTCATCAAGTTCATCGTTAACGATGGCAGGCAGGTCGTTGTAGGGACGACGCCTGCTGGTGGATGTAATGTCCTAAGTCCCTTCCCCAGCTAATAATGAGGGTACTGCTGGGGTGACCGTTTATTAACCCTCATATAATTCTTCCGGTCAAAATGGACGCTAAGTACGGCCACCTTTTTTTTTTTAAAAGCCGTGGCAAATATTTTTATTTTTATTTTTGCCAGACGGTGGCTGTTGCATTTTTGCTCCATTTGTAGACTGGAAGGATGTAGCTTCTGAGTTGAGTGCATGGCGTGACACTGTGAGCTGCGTTTGTTTTTCGTTGGCACAGGAGCGGAGCATCTGTGGGGTGACCCGTTTGCTATGAAGCTGAAACTAGGATTACCAGATTACCAGATTACCAGATCGTCAACACTGGATACAACGGACTCTGACGACATTTGCACAGAAAATTCAAGACTGGGGACTCAGACGTGTGTCCATGTGGGTCAGCACCAAACAGAACTGAACATGTGGTACAGCCATGCTCTCCACATGTAGTAGGCCGTAGGGAGATCTCAGGACTAGCTACTTAGCATTCCAGTTAAAACCAAGTTGTATGGATGAGTGGAGGACATGTGTCGCATCAGGCTTTTTAAAGGCTTGTTGCCTTTTCATCTGAAAACCACAGTAAGACCGAAAAAAAAGAGGAAACATATCATCATCATCCTCACTATTATCATCTTTATCATCGTCATCGTCATCATTAACACAATAATCATGTCATATACTGACAAACGTGGGCGGTCCATGCTTCTTCCTGTATGCGTTGGTGAATTGCTTGCCAGTTGGTCTGCTCACTCATTACCTTTTTTGTCCCCTGGTTGTGCTGGCGTAAAAGGTAATGAGTGAGCGGACTAATTGACAAACAATGCATCAACGCACGCGGAAAGAAGCATTGTCAGAAAAAATATCATCAACGTAGTACAGACTTGCTTAGTAGATAATAACGAATCTCTGACGCTAACACGATTGCGTGATCGGGGAGTAAAGTATGGCGAAGTACGCATTTGCTGTCTTTGATACCGAGATCGGAGACAGTATAACCAACCCCTAATGGGAACAATTAGTAGAGGTTCCTTGGAGTGGCTACTGAGTTGAAGAATAAGGAAGCACAGGAATGCCTAATGTGCAGTGATGTCGATTAAGAAAACATAACATGGCCGATAATGTTTCACCATCTCAAACGATCACTAGTCATTGTGCCTGTCCTAATAGCGCCAGATGCTTAACTCTTTTAGGACGGCATTTTTTCTGGGGTTTGGACAGCATTAATTTTAAGTGGAATTTGTTTAGTGCAACACGACAAAGCTAAAACCTTCCTAAAGAAAAAGTATGGGCTGTATTGAGACTTATAATATATCAAATTAAAGATAAATGAGTGCAGAATTAATCTTAACTACTTAAATGTCAGTATAATATCAAAATATTATTAAAATCACACAACATTCAAGGAAGTTAGACACAAAGGACAATTTTGAACATAAAAAATTGTTTGCTAACCTTATTTTTTACTGGTTCAACAACACTGCTATCCAATTCTAAGAATACACATGCCTTCTCTGTTCAATTGTGTATCTGCTAGTCTTTATTTGAAACAATTAATTTAAATACTTTGGATATTATAATCATTTTTGTATGACATGTCTATTTTCACAACAACCGAAAATCGTAAAAACAGCTGATCGAAACATTGATCTAATTGAAGTATTTCGTGAAATTTTCATATCCTAAACTAAATTATTGCTAGTAGATGTGTCCCTTAGATATCAATCATAATATCAAGACTGTTGTCACCATCTGGCAGGGATTCATCAACGATAGAGCAGTATGGTCAGTTCTAGACCTTTTTCCTTATCATTTAGTATAGAAAAATCACGGAAAAATTGTATCCTATCTAAATAATTTTTTTTTTAAATCACAAAATAATGCACCGACCACGATGAACATCGCAAATGAAAGTACATCCTGTTGTTAATGCTAATTGTTAAAAAACTTGTTCATAAAAGTTCGTTTACCCTACAAACGGAACAAAATGAGAGTGTCTCTACCATGAGCCAGTAAACTGGCTTTACGTCTTTAAGGGATAGACTTAAGCGCCAGTATACTGGCTAAACGTCCGAAAAGAGTTAAGTCAAATACGTCTGGCTGTTTTCAGATATATATATATATACATATATATGCCTCCTGACTAATGTAAAATATACAAAGGTTCCTCTGGCATACCTCAAGTCTCCGGAGACGGCAACGAATCAAGTTGTTGTAGAGTATAGATGTCAAAGTCACAGGAACACTCATACCGTCTAACAGTCTTCTAGATTTCACTGACAGCCGAATCTCCTGGACGTTAACCTGAAGGGGAAAAAAAAACGTTAACATTATTTTAAGAAAATGCTGAAAATAACAACAAAACTCTAACCACTTTCAAAAAATTCGAATTTGTTTTCATGCCCTGCGGCTCTAGTAGTTATAACTATGCACAGCTTTCTGCTTCGTGTAGTGTTAATCATTTCTGACACAGATGAGCTTCCATACCATGACTTCATACTGTACAGCATCTTCTCTCTCTGTTTCCCTCTTACTCTGTTGTATACTAACTTGACCACCGATACGATGTATTCCGCATATGTATTTTCTATGAACTGATCAAACAATGCACATCGTCTGCTTCTGGTGTTTGCAGTCAATTATCTTTGCGAGTTAGTTTCTCTGAACGCGGGCGGGTATTGCTAGTCACTCTCGCCATCGCCATCGGCTGCAGGTCCCATGCCCTTTCATAGCGCAAAAAATACTATCTTCTGGAAAGACGGAAAGGTGCCAATCAACCCGCATAGGACTATATGTCACACACGGCAGGCGTAGCTGCTAAGGGTGTCCTAATTACAACTTATGTGGAGGTTGAACAGGGAGGGTATCTGGGTTCTACCTGTGTGGTCTGCCGTTCAGATTTAGATTTTTTTTTTAAATTTTAGGATATTAAGCCTTGAGGCAACAGCCTGGAGAGGGCACCAAGATTGATCGATACGCGCAGGCACTCTCCGTGGTTGAGAGATTAAGCGGTCAGCTCCCCGCCCTATAGATTCATGTGTCAATCGTTCGGATCGCGAGTGAAATTTTTTGAATTTAGGGAG